TGAAAATCATCCCTAGTTTTAAATAATGCATGGGACAGAGGTGATACACATGGATTTGACATCAAGATATCCCTGTGAACTACTCCCTAGACCTTACAGAACACTCAAACCAATATCTGGGTATGATTTGTTTGCATCTCAATAGTCAAGGTGAGCTTGTAGTTGTGCATTTACCCTAGTATTTTGTTTGATGGGACCACAATGAAGGCATGTGCATCCAAGAGAGGAGCTCTATAATGACATTCTATGATCTCTAGGTCAACATACGTATGAAGCACATGGATGAATGACTTGACTCATGTCTTTACCTTTTCATGTAGGGCTCTCAGGAATGGGACAATAAGGAACCTCCACCTTTTTGTTGGTTGGTTTGTTTTTTAAAGCTTTTATTGTGAATTGAATGAAAGTTTACATGGCAGATCATCAATCTTGCACACAACCAATCATATTTTGTTTCAATGCAATGATTACAATCCCCTCCATGCGCCATCGGTTAACAGTATTTACTTCCACCACCACCCCCCATCTTTTTTATGTACACAAAATACGCAGAAAATACATATTCGTTTAAATGGCCAAAGGGTGCATTTTATAAGGAAGCCTCCTGCCCACTGGCACACAGCCTTTCTCATTCCATGGGGTTTAAAAGAAACCTCAGCCTTTTCTCTCAAACTCAGCAGAACAACTCAACAAAACTGGAAGTATAAAAACTGGGTATAGAGAATACTTTACTAAGAATAGTGAGGTTCCAAATAGCATTGTTTAGGATGAATTGGAAGAGATTTTGCTTTTGCTTTTTGAGGGTAGATTCTGAGGATTAAGAGAGTCCTAAAAATATTCTTTTGGAAATAGAAGGACTTGAGCTTAAGGACTACAGTAAACAGATTCTTGTAGATCTTGACGAAGAAAAAGTCATAGAGTCGTGAAAGGGTCATGAATCTAAAGGAGATTGTAGCTCTCAGATATGCTCTGCACTAGAGTGGTTATGCATAGGCAGAATATGGCTAGTGGTTCAAAAATATTCTAGCAAGAACAATGAAAGGGAGCTATTCCTTCTGAGAAGATCAGGACCTCTGGAGACACACTGGGTTGGAAAGTGAGGACAGCAATTGTCATCAGAACTAGTGTGCTTTCTCTTTGTACCCCTGGAATGATAAATTCAGGAGGCAATTTAAAAAAAAGACATACCACCAGTAATAGTATATGGAAAACTATAACTTATCATCAAGGTAGTGCCAAGAGCTACCATAGGAGGCCTAGCCTCCCTGACATTTTCTTCATTTATAATCAAGTGGAATCCTGGTGTGGCACTGTGGGCTAATACACGGGACTGCAAGGTCAGTTTGAATGGTAAGGTCAGTGGTTTAAGCTCACCAGTTGCTTCTCGGAAACCCTATATAGGGCCACTATGAGTCAGAACCAACTCAATGGTACTTAACAACAATAACATAATAAAGTGCCAGCCACACGATCTTCTGGGCAAGTACCCTGGACTTTCTTCATTCGGCCTGCCACTTCTAAGCTTCCATTATATTGAAAAGTGAGCCACCATTAAAATAGTGGTTAACATTTCTGTAACATTTCTCACAAAAGCTGGTCAAACAGCCTATGGAATACATATTCTAAAAAGATTCGTAGACACTTATTGAAAACAGCACCAAATGAGTTGTGGCTGAGGAAACTAGGAGTTTTCAGAAATATGTAGAACAGAGTCGTCTGGAAGAAGAAACACACGAAACTGATCAAGGTTTCAAAACATGCCTAACCTCAATCAGCTATTCACTCCAGGATTTAATGGTATACATGTTAAGAATTACCTTGATTGAAGCAAGAGAATTCATAGCCTGCTACTGATATATGATGCAACAAATGGAAGTAATTGCTCTGAGCCTTTGTAGTATATTTGCCCCCCACCCCCCAAGGAACCCTAGTTTGTCCCAGCACACTTTAAAATAAGTAGGATTTTGAAATTATTTAGTGGATAAAGATGAAGGTCTTATGGCTGAGGGTCTCCTGTCTCAGTTCAGATTTGGCAGCAACCTAATGCCATCTCTTATCTCCAAATAATCAGTCACCAGGAAAACAGTACCCTGGTGAGCTTTAAGGTGATTAGCTATTACTTGGCATGTCTCAGCAGTTTGAATCTTGGATAGCTAATCTGGACCATGGATCTGGAAAAAAAAAGCTGTTCATCTAAATTACTTTAATCCACAGGTAGATTCTGATTATCCAGCTCTTCACCCCTTGATGCATCTTCTGTTTCCATAGCAGCTAAAATCTCAATGAAACGGAAACATCTGGCCAAGGCTCAGGTAAAAGTCCCCTGAGGAAATGAATCTGTTTAATTGTCACTGGGGGAGAAAAGGAATCTAACATACACAGCATGAAAATCAGAAAGATAAACGGAAGAAGGATCAAACACAAGCATGAAGAGATAAAAAGTAATAGCAAAGATTAGAGAGAGGAGAAAAAATAAAACACTGGGAATAAATGTTATTAAAATAGAAAAATACAGAGGATATAAGAGAAATGGGGACTATAGTCCAAAAATGGAAAAAAGAAAACTCATAAACAACCAAGACAAAAAGAAAAGATATATGAAGGAAATGGAGGAAGAGAACCAGAAAAATAACTAAGTTGTGTGGCCAAAGGAGGAAATGGGAAAAGACATCAAACAGATGACAAAGGGAAGTCTGAGAGAATGAAGGGGGCATTGCTCCTCTTGAAACAGGTGGGATACGTATGTCCTAGATAATAAATAGTCTGCAAATTCTACATCCAGCAGTACTCAGCATTGAGCTGGTTCTAATGGCAGGCGCTCTGGACTGACAAAGCCTTCCATTTGGAGGGACCCTCCTTCCAATGTCTCTGAGCTGTTATTTCACTTCATCACTAATTAACCTCTTGCACGACTGAAGAGCCCTCCCAGATTTTGGACTGTCTATATGTAAGGCCATTTCAAATTAAGAGACTGGCTGATACCCAGTTAGCTCTCCTTGATCCCTTTGCTCATAGTGGCAACATTAGGAATGGTGGGTTAGGGCAGTTCCTAGGAATTGAGGAGAACACGCCATATCTGAGAACTTCTACCAGAAAAAAACGTCATTGAGACAGGAAATTTTGCACTTGTGGTCCATCCATAGTCTAACACTGACTCTGAACAAAACCATACGGTTTTGTTGCCTCCAGAAATAGAAATCCAATGCCCCAGTATATATCATTCTGTTGGGATACAGCCCTCAGGTGCCAGACTCTTCGGAAATGTCCTCCTTTTTTCAAGGTCACACTCTTTCTGGGTTCCCAAATTCAGTAACTACTGTGGTTGTTTAGAAACCCAGCCCTCTTATCCCAGTGGAGTACACTTCTGAACTCTCCACAGGGTCAGATGAGATGTCCCATTGTACTTCATTGTAACTCAACTTCTCCCTCTGTCCTTCCCATTCCTTCTTCAGGGGTTGATCCCAGACATCTCCCTAATTAACTTCTCCCATGCCAATTACCATCACGTGGCCTGCTTCTAGAGGACCCAACATGCAACACCTACCATACAACCACCAGTCTGATTCATTTAGAACCAGAAATCTACACAATTCAATAAGAAGCCTATCTACTCACATACATAAGGAACTCTGGTAGCGTAGTGGTTACAAGTTGGGCTGCTATCCTCAAGGTCAGCAGTTCGAAACTACCAGCCATTCTGAGGGAGAAAGATGAGGCTTTCTGCTCCCATAAAGATTTACAGTTTCAGAAACCCTATACCGGGTCACTATGAATCGAAACCAACTCCATGGCACATAACCACCACTACTCACATACATGGAGTCCTGGTGTAGCACTGTACAAGCTAGCACTAGATTACAAGGTAGGTTTGAAATGAAAGGTTGGCTATTCAAACTTACCAGTCCTTCCCCAGAAACCCTATACAAAGTCAGAACTACTTGATGACGGGGCATTTAACAACAACAACAACAATTCCCATATATACATACAAATTTGCCTAAATGTATAGATGCTTATTGCCTACACTTCTCACTGACCAGAAATACAAATGAAATGAAGGACTTTTTATTCATGTTCTCCTTCAATTTCACCTTTTCAGAGACCTTTCTTGACCTAACAAATTGTCCTTCTGTCAATATATATGTTCTATTTTCACATCCTTTATCACCTCTTAATATATTGTAAATTCACTTTTCTCACTAACTTTATGATGATGTGAACTCATAAGAGCAGGGCTGTGTCTGATTTGTTCATTGTTAGATCCCTAGTCCCTAGAAAAGTGCCTGGAATATTGTAGTCATTCAAGAAGTATTTGAAGATGAATAAAATATGTTAAAGCACCTCATTCTCAAATAAAGGCTGCTTTAAAGATAAATATCATCTTGTCTTGAATTCTAAAGGTTTTATCATCCAATACATCAAAGCACAAAACAACACTTAGATTGGTCCATATAATACTTTGCAATTCGTTCACACATTAAGTTTTATTTGTTATCTAGGATCAATTAGAGTACAATAATAACAACAAAACCATCAAAACAACTAAAGAAATAGCAATGAGATTTTTGGCAATGATAAAGAAGCACAGACTTGGAAATTTCCCTTTTAGGGTTATGGCCATTAAGAGCTTTCATCCACTTTATGTGCTGTTTTTTTCTTTCTCTTAAAATAACCAGTTGAACACCACCACAAAAGCTAGTAATTCTACCATCAAGCTTAACAATTAAAGAACAACCTGAACATCTCACTATCATTTCAACCAAAGACAATTGAGATTAGTTTACCAGAAATTAGAGAGATCCTCAAGTGTTATTTCTGCAGTCTTAGAGAATACCCTTAGAGAATACCAACTCTCTCTGCAGAGCCCCAAGTATCTTATTAGCAGGCTACCAAAAATGTATGGCCTCTTGCACGCAGTCATCAATGCCAGAACCAATTGGCTATGGCCAGCAAGTCTCACATTTCTTCTCATGACCCACACATAAGCTTGCTTCTCTTACCTTTGGGGGAGATGTGTCTCCAGGTAACTGTAGGCTCTGGTCTACCCGTTGCTATGCAGGTGAGACTGATGTTGTTTCCTTCATTAATGGAGATGTCTGAAGAAATCTCTACAATTTTGGGAGATACTGTTGAAACAAAAAAGGGAAACAAAAAATTCTCGTAAAATATTTCTTTGCTGTTCTTAAAATGGCAGTTGGCAGAACAACACAGAGACTAAGATATATGTTCTTTAGGAGTAGATAATGACAAATTAGAGGAATTCCCTTAAATATGAAAGCATTATCGTACCTTGAATCTATCTTCTATTTCTTCCCACTTAAACACAAAATCCTGAATGGGAATAAATCTCAGGGTAATACTGCAGTAAGTATTCTCCTTGCCTCCACCCACTTCTTCAGTCCACTCTCACCCAACCCACTCCAACACACATAGGCATATCATCCTCTAAATACATTCAGAGTCTTATTTATGTAATGCAATTCTTATCATAACACATCTTTGTCTAAATACCTGATTGCTCCCTATTACATACCTGATTAAATCCAAGCTCTGGCTGTCCAAGCCAAGCATCCACCTACATTTCCACTGACATTTCCAACTATTACACCTTTACCCACCCTATCTCCAACACACTATGCATTTCCTGATCAGCATGCATTTAGATCTATATTATTCCTCATGATCTTCCTTCAAACCTGAGTCAATGCTGCTTCTTCACCCATACTCCCAATTAAAGATACCCGAGAGGGAATGGAAAGGAATGCTAATTAGATTTTCTACACTTGGTCTCTCTGTCTCCTAAGTCACTTCACCAAAAGAGGGGAGGGGCTCATTCTAATTAGTAAAATTTGACCCAGAACATTCCACAAACCTACTTTCTTACTTCTGTGAGTCCTTTGCATTAGAATCAGTCATTCCATAAGAAACTGGCATTCACCTGTACTCCTCTGAGCAACTGTTTTCCTGAGACAGCATCTCATAGAGTATCCTGCCACCCAGTCTGTGACTGTATGTGCATTTGGGGGGGGGGGGTGTCAGAGTTAGAAGCTCATTGTTGTTGTACTCCTAATTTAAGTCTCCAGTTTCCATTTTAGCACTAGTAAATGTGATGTTTGGCTTTCCATGTGCCTACTCATTTGTTTTTCTGCCAGTGGCTTTAGAAATCAAGTGGATACAGTGAGCTGTAATTAATTGTTCCCTGACCTTCCAATTCTTGGCACTTACCCCACTATGTTACGGGCGATTTGCTTTGTACTCACACACTAGAACATGAGATTTTTGACTGCCTAATCCATGCCCTATTCATATATAGATCCATAGTAAGAAATCAACAAGTATTTATTGGATTGAGTTTCAATGCTTATTCAAAGAAGCCACCTTCTCAACCTGGTTTATGCCTGTAACACAATCAGAGTTGTATTATAAACACAAATTATTTCAGTTCTAGTGACACTGATTTTTGACACATTACCTCTTTTCACATTACTTCTTGGACACAATACTTTTTTTGCAAATTAAGTGGCCTCTGCACCAGTCATGGTATGGCACTGTTGGATAAGTACTGGACTGCTAACCACCAGATTGGCAGTTCAAACCCATTAGCCACTCTTTGGAAGCCCTATGCAGGGTCACTATGAGTCAGAACAAGCTCAACTGCACTTAACAACAGTCACCTGTCTGTCTGTTAGTGATATGTTTCACATGCCAAGGTCTAGAGTTGAAGAAGCACTACTTAGTGTAACCACCATGGATGATTTCAAGACATATTATCCACACAGTCCACATGAGGAGCAAGAAATTATTCCTGGATTTTACTTCCTCTTGCCAGGTCAGAGTGTGTGAACTTCACACTAAGTTAGATTCCTGGAGACTTACGTACTGGTTTTTCCTCTATGTGAACCATTACTCATTTACCCCTAATTATATTAGCCCATCTCCTCCATGGAAATGGGTGTATCATGTAGATATTTTCTCTTAGTATTCCTTTGTTTCCCTCCCATTCCTGCTTTTCTTCCACTTCTGTATGGACCACACAATTGAACAATTCATTATTGATAAATGCAACCCTCCCCCTTTAACCCCATGCCCTTGCTGTTGTGTTATGTTGCTTATACACTTTCTTTCAACTATTTATTATTCTTCAATGTCTGGTTGAATTTTCACCCCTTCCATAAAATATTCCAGGTGATCCGTAAAATATAACCTCTCATTCCTGAAATTGTTAGAGTGTAGTACCACCTTTATGTATTTAAAATAAACTTCCTTTTTCATCTTTGCTGTAAATTATCTGAATATATGATATTAAGAAAGAGTCTGACTAGTCATAAACAGGTTGCCTTTCATAGAGTAAGTACCAATTAATCATGTTTACATTCAAATCAATATGCAGCTATGGATACAATGAGCGTGTGTGTATTTGTATGTGTGTGGACATGCACTTGTAATTACACTTATACACAGGTATTTGGTGAGAAGTAAAAAAAAATGAGTGCATGTGGTCAGGGTAGGGGAGAGACCATTGTTTCTAAGATCTGGGACTTTTAAGATGTATGTAGCATTCCAATTTATAGTTGCATGATTTCAGAAGTTAGATTGAACCTTTGAGTCTAGAAAGCTTAATCAAGTTAATGATTGAACATTAGATTTGCTGACAGTCTCATAATTTACATTTCTGAATCTCTGAGTTCTAGAATTATTTTGATGTATTTTATTCACACAGTTTTAATGGGAGTGATCCGTTTCCATGCCACCATGACCCAGGCCCTACATTTGCCTGGTCTAAGCTCCTATTCATCCTTGGCAACCACAAAAGACTTGCTTGTATCTTGGAGAAGAGGCAGCCTGCAGAATGTCTGTGCTGACCTTGCATATAGTGCTTCAACTGTGAAGGTAAGTAATTTATTGATCTGTAAAACACTCTGAGATGTTCCGCAAGGGATTATGTCACATCTACACCATGCAATAAAAATTTTAAACTGATGGACTTTGTGAACACAAGGTGATTTAGGGTTTGTAGTTGGAATTGTGCTTAAAGTACATTTTAAGTGGAAATCAGGCTGAGTAATGAATTACTCTTGCTTTGAAAGGGCTTATTGGGAGTTCATTTTCCTGGCTTCTTATATGATAGCTAATCTGCTAATCATACACTAGAGAACAATGGACTTTCCTAACATACAGTGGAATGTGGTTTGGGCCAGAACTGTCAACAGAGTAAGTATATTAAATGAGATGATCGTACCTTAGGCTTGGAAGAATCATCCTCCACCCCAACCCTACCACTATAAACAACTGAAAAGGGTGCAACTCATAAAGTAGAAGTTGGAAGAGTATGCTTGCTGTTTTTCTATCCTGCTTTTGACTACAGCTCATAGTGGGCAACCTGTCCCAAGGTGGATTTGAAAGGAAGACCATTCATGGCATAATGCCAAGTTAGCTTGATCTGACATGCCATCTTAATTATTAGAACTAAATTTACATAATGTACTAGATACTAGAGTACCAGAGTTATGAGTTTCTAGGCAGCAATTTCTAACACATTATTGGTATTCAAAATTAAACTGAATTGATAAGATTGTACTGTAATCTTTGGTAATCCATGTTTATAATGAAACTTTGTCTAAGTATGAGGAAAGGTTACTTATATTTTTATATTGTTTCCTTGGATACATTCTATATCTACCTCTTTTCATCATGCAAGCTGTTAGAATTATGCTAATATTGGGTTTGCTTATTTTCATTCATTCACATACTCATTCACTCATTTATCTACTAATACATTATTTGTCTATCTATCTATATTTATATATATACATATATAGATAGTATATATACATATATAGTAT